GGGATCCCTGGGCCTAGTGTCCCCTGGGATGGCAGCCTGGGCCACCAGACCTGGGGTGGGGGGAGGGGAGGCCACCCCGAGGCCTGTACTGTGTACAGTCAGCGCAGCTGCCCAGGAGATGGGAAGCAGGTTAGAAGGACAGCGTTGCATATGGACGGACAGGAGAGCCCCATCCGCGCTGTCTTCTGGGGGACAGGCACGGAAGCCCCCAAACCATGACCTATGGTTGTGTGGTGGGCTGGGGGTGGGGGGCAGCGAACCCTGGGCCTGTGGCCACAAAAGCCACATTCAAACACAGGGACATGAGCCAGGCCAGGGAGCAGGCCCAACAAGGGTTTACTGAGGAGGCGGGGTGCTCTGGGCAGCGGGCGCAGCCTGTGCAAAGGCCCTGGGGCCGGCTGGAGGCAGGGAGGGGAGATGGGGCGGGTTGTGCGAGGCCCAAGCGACTGACTATTCTGCAAACCTGGCGGCTGACTGACGCTGGGCCTGCCTGCGGGAATTCCAGGGCCTGGCTTTGCTTCTGCTTTTCCTTGGCCGGAGGCGGCGGGAGGCAGACGTGGCACGGAAGAGCCCGCCAGGCTTGGCAGCCCAGTCAGGGCTGAAGAAAAAAACGGGGGGGGGGGGGGGGGGGGAGGTTGGCCCACGTGGGAGAGGCAGCGGCTGCTGGAACCCCCCTTCCCACAAGCTGGCGCTCCTGTGCTGTGTCCAGTTGAGGTTCAACACCTGCTCGGTGTGTGTGTGTGTGCGTGCGCACGCGCGTGCACATACACACACACACACACACACACACACACGCTAGTACTGAGGCTTGATGCAGGGCCTGAGTGCTGTCCCTGAGCTTCTATTTGCTCAAGACTGCCGCTCTACCCCTTGAGCCATGCCTCCATTTCCTGCTTTTTGCTGGAGAACTAGGAGACATTTTATTTTTCTGCCCAGGCTGGCTTCGAACCGTGACCCCTGAGTGGTTGGTTGGGATTGCAGGCGTCAAACCACTGGCACTTGGCCGTTTTAGTCTTTCTTTTTTTAAGCGTGAGGTCCATGCTGTGAACTTAAGCCAGGTCACATTGCTCCCCAAAGAACTGCAAAATAAAACTCCGCCTTCATGCAGGGGGGGGACCCCACATACCCAAGAGTCCTGACCTCCTCCTCCTCCTCCTCCTCCTCCTCCTCTCCTCCTCCTCCTCCTCCTCCTCCTCCTCTTCCTCCTCGCACTGCGGGGCAGCTGTGTGGTCTCTGTTCCTCATACATCCCACATTTGTTCCAGCCCCAGGACATTTGCACGTGCCCCTGGCTCTGCCCTTTTTTTTTCCACTGTTCCTCACTAACTCGCCACCTCCGAGACCTCCTGCCCCGCCAGCCTGGACCCTTCTCCCTCCCCCTGTCCTGTTCCTACCCCTCAGCACACCCCAGGGCTGTGGAAGTTACTCCAGGCTGCCTACCATCTCTCCCACTGCACTGAGGAGGGAGCGGTCAGGGATGCTGGGCGCAGTGGCTCACGCCTGTAATCCCTGAAACTCAGGGCATAAGAGATGGTGGCGAGGTTTGAGGCAGCCTGGACGAAAAGTGTGTGGCCCTTTACCTCAACCAACAAGCCAGGTTGGGGATGGAGAAGCCGGGAAAGGTAAAAATAGCTTCGGAGGAAGACGCAGCCCAGGCGGGACAGACAGACAACACAGACAAACCCCGAGACCCCATCGAACAAGTAATGAAAACCCCGAAGGGGCTGGGGGCATGGCTCAGCGGTGCAGCACCTGCAGCCCTGCAGCATGGGAGATTCTGAGTTTGGGGTTTGGTGTGTGTGTGTGTGTGTGTGTGTGTGTGTGTGTGTGTGTGTGTGTGTGTGTTGCCGGAAAGCAAGCAAGCACCTGTTGGGTGGTGACTGAGCCACCCAGGGACCTTGCTGGGGACAAAGGGTGTGGCCAGCAGTCACCGTGGTGACGCCCTTGTCCCGAGCTGGGACCAAATTTGGGCTCCACGCCACAGACAGGAAAGAACACTTTGTACAGAGCTGTCTGCCTGCCGGCCTTCCATCGCTATTGTGGCCTGAGGTCATGTGTTTGTTTGAGCAGGGGGGGGGATGTTCCCGGATGCATGTGGACACTGTGTGGACGAGGAGGATGGTGGGTCCCTCACCAGCGGAGGGCCCAGCACCTGGGGGGAGGGGGTTCTCACTTATACTAGCGTGTATGTGGTTATCTGTGCTTCAAGGTGCTTATAAGCTCCTGGGAGTCTCTCTCTGTCTCTCTCTCTCTCTCTCTGGGCATGAAGTGAGACAGTTCCAGGCAGAAGGAAAGGTCCTGGGGCAGGATGGAGCCTGGTGGGTTGGAGGAACAGCAAAAAGGCCCAGAGTAGAAGGAACGCAGCAGAAGGAATGAGGGGCAGAGAGGGGGAGGGGAGAGGCAAGGGAGGGGAGGGGGGAGGGCAGGTCATACAGGCCCCTTGAGCTGTGGGGAGGACTTGGGCTTTGACCCTGAGGGAGGGCGGGAGGGGGTGTAGGCAGGAGGGGATGGTGTTTATTTAACACTCCCCCCCACACACACCCCAGTGTGGCAGAATGTCCCCCATCAGATAGTATTTGGAGAAAAGCATGGTAGCTCCTGCCTGTAATCCTGGCCTTTGGGAGGCCGAGGCAGGAGCTTGAACGTTTCAGGCTAACTCCAGCTATAGAATCTCAAACGCATACATAAATGAAACAGAGAGTACAATTTGAGCTGTACAAGTTGAACGCAGAAACAGTGTGTTTGAGGCTCGCAGCCTGTGCTTATGATTGACAGGGTGTAAAGCTCTTTTTTCTTTTCCTGTGCCAGTCCTGGGCTTGAACTCAGGGCCTGGGCGCTGTCCTGAGCTGCTTCTGCTCCAGGCTGGCGCTCTGACTGCTTGAGCCACAGCGCCACGGCCAGCTTCTTGGGTGGTTATTGAAGATAAGCACGGAATGGATGTTATTTTTCCTGCCGGGGCTGGCTTTGAACCCCACACTCAGATGGCAGCCTCCCGAGTAGCCAGGATCACAGGCGTGAGCCCCGCCCCAGCCCGGGGAAGCACTGGGGTGTGAACTCAGGGCCCTCCGCGCCCTCCAGGCTGGGGCCACGCCCCCTGTCTCAGAGACAGCACCCAGGCCTGGACTTCAGGCCCCGGAAACAACAACAAAAGTTTAAAATGTAACAATGGTAAAAAGACAAGGTTAGAAAGTAACAGCGGAGGAGCCGGAGGGCCAGGGTGAGGGCTACCTGGGGCGTGGCTTTGTGCATCGTGGGCGTGGCTTGCACAGAGGGGCGTGGCTTTGTGTCGCGGGCGCGGCTTGCGCAGAGGGCGTGGCGGTGTTGAGGCTGTGGGCGGGGCGGTTGTGGGCGTGGCTTGCGCAGAGGGTGTGGCGGTGTTAATGCTGTGGGCGTGGCTTTGGGGCGTTGTGGGCGTGGCTCCCCGTTGGGTGCCCTGAGTTCAAATCCCACAACTGCAAAAAACAGAAAAAAATAAAACAGACACGCGAGGAGCCCGGCCCTCCCGCGTCCCGGGGGCTGGACGAGCCGGTGCCTGCTGGGCTCTGTGCCCGCCGGGTGTGGACGCTGCTGGGTCAGAGGAGCCCGTGCCGAGGCCCCGAGGCCCGCTGCTCGGGGCTGGGCCTTTCCCAAGCCAGCCACCCGTGCCCAGCCCGAGGCCGAGCCGGCAGGGCCGTCCCGCCACCCCTGCCCAGCCAGCCGGGGAAGCCGCGCCACTGAACCACAGGGAACCCAAACAAGTGACAGGCCGGGCACCGGGGCTCACGCCCGGCTGGGAACTGAGGACCGCGGGTTCGAAGCCAGCCCGGGCAGGAAGGTCCCGTGGCTCAAAGGGTAGTGGAACGCTGAAGGGGTTCACCCCCTCTATTCCCCCACCCCCCCACACTTCGGCCTTTGGCCCCAGGGCATTGTCTGGGCCCGGCTCCGCCCCCTTGCCCGGCTCCGCCCCGCCCCGCCCCCTTTACCAGGCCCCACGCCTGGCTCCACCCACTGTGCCCGGCTCCGCCCCCGCCCGCCCCCTGTGCCCGGCCCCGCCCCCTTTACCAGGCCCCGCGCCTGGCTCCACCCACTGTACCTGGCCCCGCCCCCTGTGCCCGGCCCCGCCCCGCCCCCTGTGCCCGGCCCCGCCCCCTGTACCAGGCTCCGTGCCTGGCTCCACCCACTGTGTCCGGCCCCGCCCCCGCCCCGCCCCCTGTGCCCGGCCCCGCCCCCTTTACCAGGCCCCCGCCTGGCTCCACCCACTGTACCTGGCCCCGCCCCCTGTACCGGCCCCGCCCCCTGTACCAGGCTCCGCGCCTGGCTCCACCCACTGTGGCCCGCCCCGCCCCGCCCCGCGCCTGGCTCCCCTCCCCCCCACTCCCTGGGCGGCCACCACCGCCGCGGTGGCGCATGCGCCCTCTGTCCTGGCTGCAGAAGCCAATAGCGCTGAGCTCAGCGTCTGCCTGCCGCGCGCCTCTGCTGCCTGCCAAGAAGCCGGATTATTTTTAGATAAAATGGGGGTGTGGGGGGGTAGCGTGGGCGGAGGAAGCCCCCGAGCCGGGAGGGGGGAAGGGACGGAGGGAAGCGGGGGGGGGGGGGGGGGGTCATCTACCAAGGGGACTGGAAAGGCTCAGGAACTCTTCTCTCTTGCCTCAGTTTCCCCATGTGTGCCATGATGATGGGGGGAGTGGGGGCCGGAAGCAGGATTCAAACACTGTTTTCACCCATGAGGCTCAGAGAGTGCAAGGGACTTGCCCGGGGACACACAGCATGAAAGTGAGGCAGCCGGGATTCGAACCCCAGGCTCCAAGGAAGCCAGCCTGGCAGCTGGTGGGTGCGTCCCGCGCAGAGGGCACCTGAGCCTCCGGGGCAGCCATCGAGGCCGGATCCTGGCTGAGACCTGGGGGGGGGCAGGCTCAGGCTGTCCTGAGCGGGCCCAGGATGGGGGCCCTGGGGTGGGCGCCCTCCCCCCCGCAGGGCGGAGGCCCCGCGCTGTCACCCACTGTCTCCTCTTTGTCTCTGCAGATGCGGAGCAGGGCAGCAGCCCGCGGACAGGGCTGAGCTCAGACCAGGAGGACAGCAAGCCCATCACACTGGGTGAGTCTGGGGGGGTGGGGGGGCCTCACGTACCCCTTCTCGGGGCTCCAGACCGCCTGCGGGCTTGGCGTGGCGCCCAGATGTGTTCCTTCCTCGTGGTGGGGGGCGGGCAGGGTGTAAGGGCTGCCGTTCCATGTTATAGGTGGGTAAACTGAGGCCAGAGGTTCCAGCACCCGGAGCTGGCCACAAGTATGTCCTTGCTGGCAGCAGCCAGGGGACGCCCAGGCTCCTCTGCCTGCAGCCCTCCACACTCCCACCTCCCTCTCTGCCCTGCGAGCCCCCCCTGCACCCCGTGGGCCTTCCTGCTGCACCTCCCACACGTCAGGCTGTCCTGACCCCAGGGCCTTTGCACAGGCCGGCCCTTCTGTCTGGACCGCTGCCTTCCCCCTCCAGACCTCCCTAGGTCTCACCTCGCATGCCCCTTCCCACAGAGGTCCCCCCGCAGCCCCAGCGCTCGGCCTCTCCGGCCACTGCCCTGTGCCTTATTTCCTCCCCAAGGAAGTCTGTGATCGCATAGGTGTTTACGTAGTGATTCCGGGTGTCTGTTTATCTCCCCCGCCCAAGAATGCAGTCCCAAGGGGCCGAAGCTTCTGTCTGCCTTTGGGAGCCTCCTGCAGCCCCGTGTCCACAGTGAACATTTGTAGAAAGAAAACAAAAGGGATGGATGGAGTAGAGGAAGAAGAGGAAGAACAGGGCAGGGAGAGGAAGAAGAGGAGAGGACCGAGAGGAGGGAGGGAAGGGGAGGGAGGACGGGAGAGAAAGAAGGAAGGAAGGACCGGAGGCCCCCATCCATCGGAGGGGGCCGCACAGGCATGCACAGGGACACAGAAGGTTCCAGAAGGCGGCCCAGGGGGCCACGCCTCCCCGGCTCCAGCCTTATCACCCTGAGTCCAGCCTCAGTGACCCCGCGAGGCCTCCCCGGGAGGCCGATGCTGGGGGGAGGCGGCCGGGGCTGCGGGGGGACCTTGGGCGTCTGGCGTCCCCCCCCAGTGCCGGGCCAGGGCTGCACAAACAGGAAATCCCAGCTGGGGGGAAGGGCAGGAGACACAGGCTGACAGCTCCGGCCAGCTGGGTCAGCAGGAAGCGGCCGCGGCCACTTCCCCTGGACACTTGGGGGTCCACCGCCCGCCCTCCCCACATGTCCCGGCCCTGAGGCTCCCGCGGCCGGGCAGGAGCGGGTGTCTCCGGGCCACGGGCTCTGGGCTCCTGGACAAGCCGGGCACCCGGCGGCCAATGCTGCCCCCTGGGGGCCGGGAGAGGGACTGTCCCCACCGCGCCCGCAGGACAGAGCCGGCCACCTCCCCGCGTGGGCTCCGAGCCCTCTCCCTCCCCAGCTCCCCGAGCCCTCTCCCTCCCCAGCTCCCCGAGCCCTCTCCCTCCCCAGCCCCCGGTCCTCCACCCCCCTGCGTGCGGACCCCAGGGCCTTTGCACAGGCTGCTCGGCACTGCCCGGCACCTGGCTTAAAACCATCTTTGTTCCAAGTCGCCTGACTGAGGACGCAGGGCTGCCGGACCCTAGATTTATTTTTCTTTTTGGGGGAGCACTTGGCACAGTTTCAGCTGACATCTTCCTCTTCTGACTGGCCACCTCGACCACTCTGTAAAGTGTCATTTAACGGGGGGCCCCATGCCCCCCCCCCCCGCCTCACCCGCGGGGGACAGGGCTCACTTGACACTCAGTGGGAAAGGGCACCGCCTGAAGTCCTGGCAGTGGCGCAGGCCCCCCCCCCCCCCGCCATGCCACGCCGCCGCCATCCCAGTCTCCACCAGGACAATCCCACGAGCCGCCGCCACCGGTCACGGTCACGCACCGTGGACACGCCGCGGCTTGTTCCTGGCTGAGTCATATTCCAAGAGCGGTGACCACGTTGCATCCCTCCGTGGCCCGGGGTGGCTCTCTGGTTTTGGCCACCGGGCCGCGCGGCGGTGTGCGGGTCCCCCTTGAGGTGGCCTGATGGCTGCCACTCGCTGGGTGGTGAGTCCCCCGCGGCCAGCCCGGAACCGGGGGGGGGGGGGGGGCACGCTGTTCCCCGGGCACCACAGGCCTGTCCCCAGCTGGGGGAGGCCTTCACGTCCACATCTGTCAAATGGGCCCACCTTTCTTAGCCCTGAGAGGCTCAGAGAGGGGCAGTCACCTGACCAAGGTCACACAGCGGGGGCCTCGGCATGGAGATTCCAACTCAGCAGGGGTGGGTGGGGGCACCAGGCTGGACGAATGGCCACGTGGAGCGGGGACACGCTTGTCAGACTGGAGGGGGGACTGGGCATGGCGACCCCGGCCCCCCCCACGCAGCCCCCGTGCTCCAGGAAGGGGAAGCAGACCCCACGCAGCCCCCGTGCTCCAGGAAGGGGAAGCAGACCCCACGCAGCCCCCGTGCTCCAGGAAGGGGAAGCAGACCCCACGCAGCCCCCGTGCTCCAGGAAGGGGAAGCAGACCCCACGCAGCCCCCGTGCTCCAGGAAGGGGAAGCAGACCCCACGCAGCCCCCGTGCTCCAGGAAGGGGAAGCAGACCCCACGCAGCCCGGGCCGCTGCTGACCCGACTCTGCTCCTGTTTCAGACACGACGGAATTCCAGGAGAGCTTTGTCACCTCCGGCGTGTTCAGCGTCACGGAGCTCATCCAAGTGTCCCGCAGTGAGTGACGCCGCGGGGCCTGGCCCCCACCCCTGTCCCTCACATCCTCCCCACACAGGGTGACCCGGTGACCCGGAAGGCACTCCCAGGGGCGGGACGACCGGTCACCTCCCCAGGAAACAGGAACCACCAGTGCTGGGTCCTCCAAGACCCACCCTCCCGGCCCTTGGCCTCAGGCTGCCTCACCGGCCAGTCCTGAGCACTGCCCTGCCTTAACAGTAACTTCCTGTCCACATCAAAACAGCCTGACCTGGGCTGTGGCTATGCCTCTGCCTGATGGTGCAGCCTTGGCCTCTCCCAGAGGCCTTGGTCTTTTGACAACACAGACCCCAGATTTAAGTCAAAATAAGAACCAAGCAATGGTAGCCGGGTGCTGGTGGCTCACACCTGTAATCCCAGCAACTCAAGAGGCTGAGATCTGAGGATCCCAGTTCAAAGCCAGCCCAGGCAGGAAAGTCCCTGAGACTCTTATCTCCAGTTAACTGCCAAAAAAAAGTCAGAAATGGATCTGTGGCTCAAGTGGTAGAGCACCCAGCCTTGAGCACAAAAACTCAGTGCCTAGGCTCTGAGTTCAAGCCCAGCGCGCGCACACACACACACAACACACACAACACACACACACACACACAGACACAGCCGAACAGGAGCTCTAACCCATTATCCCAGCTACTTAGGAATCTGGGAACAGGAGGATCAAGGTTCGAAGCCAGGGGCTAGGAAGGTGGCTCAGTAGTAGAGCGCTTGCCTTGCATGCCTGAGGCCCTGGGTTCAATTCCTCAGCACCATATAAGCAAAAAGAAAAAAGCCGGAAGTGGCGCTATGGCTCAAGTGGTAGAGCGCTAGCCTTGAGCTGAAGAGCTGAGGGACAGCGCCCAGGCCCAGAGTTCAGGCCCCACAACTGACAACAAAAAGAAAGATTCAAAGCCAGCCACGCCAGGCAAAAAGCTTATGAGACCCCCTCTTCCAACCGAACACTGGATACTGCAGCACATGCCTGCTACCTCAGCTAGGCGGGAAGTGCAGATGGCCCAGGCGTAGATGTAAGAGCTTAACTTGTCAAATTAGGAAAGGAGAAAAGATTGGGCGGGGGTGGGGGGTGGCAGGCCTCACTTGCCTAACAAGTGTGAGGCCCCAAGGTTGAACCCCAGTACCTCCAAACAACAAAACTGTCTCTGATTTTTGATTTGAGAAGTCCCTCTACCCACCCCACCCCCCACCACGTAACCCCTAGGATGCTGACCCCAGTCTTCCAGGGGGTAACAGCCCCTCTGGGCCGGCGCCCTCACTCTCTTCCCCACCGTTCCACGCAGCACCTGTGGTGACTGGCACAGGACCCAACTTCTCTCTGGGAGAGCTGCAGGGGCACCTGGCCTACGACCTGAATCCAGCCAGCACGGGGATGAGAAGGACGCTACCTAGCACGTCCTCCAGTGGGTACGTGCCTGGCACCCTGTCGGGACCCTGTCCTTAGGTCTGTCACCACCCTACCCGTCCGCATATCACCCTGTAGTTAAAACCGGTTCATTCTTGTTCCTGGAATACAGTCCATCTAGTATAGAAAACTCCTACTCATCCTGCAAAACCCATCCTTGAGTGCCCTTGGGCCCTGTGAAGACGCAGTTCCTTGACAGTGACCTACCACAAGTACCTCGATTTCCCCCATCTGTAAAACTGAGGCAGGGTGACTTACAGGCTCCCCTCTGCTGGCCGCGGCGGGACCTGGGTGCAGCCCCGCACCCCCCCCCCACCTCTCCCCCCCCCATCCCTAAAGGTAGGAGTGATTACAGTCAGAATTGACGCGGGTCCCGTGGAATCTCGCGATACAACTTCGCCCCGCCCCGGAAAGTCAGGCCATTTCCCCGCCCACCGCGTCTCCATGGTAACCGGCCTTCCTTTTCCCTCTGCTCCCTTTTAGAAGCAAGCGGCACAAATCGGGCTCTATGGAGGAGGACGTGGACACGAGCCCCGGCGGCGACTACTACACCTCGCCCAGCTCTCCCACGAGTAGTAGCCGCAACTGGACGGAGGACATGGAAGGAGGTAAGCCTGGAAGTGGAGACAGAGCCGACCTTCCGGTGGGGGGGGGGGAGGAATTGCGGCCGGGACTACATATCCCAACAGGCCCCGCGTGTATGCCGGAGGGTGGGAAGTGGGATTGCAGCCGCGTTGCCTCTTGGGAATTGTAGTCACGCTGACTGCGTGCTCTTACAAGTACAGTCCGTACTCAGTCGTTCCCGCAGCACTTTGGTTCCGTTCTCTGCGGAGCGGTGGGGGGGGCAGCCAGGGATGGAGGGAATGAAAGCCCCGCGTCTTTGGGCTTCCTGAGCTCACAGAGCTGACTCAGAGGATCAGGGCGCTTCTTCCTGGTCTCTTCTATGGACTCTCCCGTCTGTAGAGACCCTACTTGTCCTCTTGCCCACTGGAGGGACTTGGGTGTCTTTTTGTGGGTTCCTCTTCTCTGGGGTGCCGATGTTCCTCCTTCTTGGTTTACTTCGCATCTCCCCCTAGGATTTTTTTTTCCCTTCTTGCATGGGCTACGGAGGGCCCCTGGCTTCCTGAAACCTAGCTCTGTGCACCCCACTTCCCGAAGATTCCCCAGCCCTCTCACTGGGGGCAGGGCACACACAGTCCCGCTTTGGCAGCTGGTGTTCCGGCCCCTGCACCCATCTCTTACACGGGGGTGCTCAGACATCACCTACAGTACGCCTTCACAGGGTTCTTGTGGAGAGCTGGGGAATTGACCTTTCGTGGCCCTAACGGGCCCATCTGCTGGGGATCTGTTTGTTTTCCTCCTTTCCTCCCGGTGCTTTTTAGAAAGCTCTGTCTGTACCTGTAGGATTTTTGAGAAGGAAAAGAGAGCAGATTCAAGCTGGGCTTGTTCACAGAGATGGTTCAAGACCAGCCAAGCCCGGCATGGTCGGGCATGCCTGTAATCCCAGCTGTGTGGGGAGCGTAAATAAGATCCCACTCCAGGCAGGCCTGGGCATCCGTGGGAGCTCCTCGCTCAAAGAAAACGAATATGGAAAGGTCTGGGGCAGGGAACCAGTGGAGGAGGCAGGGCTTGAGTGGTAGTGCGCCTGCCTAGGCAAGTACAAGTCCTGAGTCCAACTCTGGTACTGGGAGGACAACAAAAACCAGCAGGTGCAAGGCAGACATAGTGGCCTCTAATCCTAGCTGCTTAGGAAGTAGAGGGAAGAGAATCGTAAGTTCCATATAAGTCTCAGCAAAGGTAGTGAAGTCCTTTCTCAAAGCAAAATACAGCCCGGCACTGTTAGCTCATACTTAATCCCAGCTACTTGGGGGAGGCTGAGATGTGAGGATCATGTTTCAAAGCCAGCCCAGGCAAGAACATCCAACCCATGAGACTCTTTATCTCCAATTAACCAGTAAAAGCTGAGATGGAGGCTTGGCTCAAGGGTAGCGCTCCAGTCAAGCAAATAAGTCAAGCAAGTAAGAAGCGCTGAGTTTAAACCCAAGTACTGAGTTCCCCAAAATACCAAATACCAAAAACAAACAAAAAATGAGGAGGAGCATGTGACTCAAATGGGAAGATACTTGCTTAGCATGCATGAGGCCCTGATTTAATTCTAGTACCAATAAGAAATAGGAGCCGGGGCTGGGAAGGTGGCTCAGTGGTAGAGCGCTTGCCTTGCATGCATGAGGCCCTGGGTTCCATTCCTCAGCACCACATAAGCAGAAAAAATAAAAAAGCCGGAAGTGGCGCTGTGGCTCAAGTGGTAGAGCGCTAGCCTTGACCTGAAGAGCTGAGGGACAGCGCCCTCAGAGTTCAGGCCCCACGACCAGACCCCAAAGAAATAGGAGCCGGGTACCAGTGGCTCATGCCTGTCATCCTAGCTACCCAGGAGGCTGAGATCTGAGGATCCCGGTTCAAAGCTAGCCTGGGCAGGAATATCTGTGAGACTCTGATCTCCAATGAACCACCAGAAAACCGGAAGTGGTGCTGTGGCTCAAATGGTAGAGCATTGGCCTTGAGCTGAAGAGCTCAGGGACAGCACCCAGAGTTCAGGTCCTGCGACCAACCGAGAGAGAGAGAGAGAGAGAAAGAGAGAGAGAGCACGAGCGAGCACTAACTCATCATTGGACAGATCTGGGTTCAAATCTCAGCTTGGCCGCCGGGTAGCTGCGTGTGCTTGTGTAACCCTGGGCAGATTCTATGTCCCTGAGCCTCTATTTATTGCCAAGTTTGGGGTGACAACACCAGGATTTCGTAAAGCAACCATCTGACGCATGGGAAGTGCCAAGAGAGCAGAGCGTGGTCTCTGATGCCCCCAGATGGTATTTCAGGCTCCATGTGCCATTGTTGGAGCAGCCACACACACACACGCACACGCACACACACACACACACACACACACACACACACGCACACGCACACACACGGAGAGCTTGCCTCTGCCGTGTTCCTTCTCCTTCATGGTCACAGCTTCCGATCCCTGTCAGCTCCGCCCAGCTCAAGGGCCTGTGGTGAGAAGCTCTTCGCTTGGAGGAGACGGTTCCTTGTCAGCCGTCCAGCGTCCCTGGGCAAATGCAGTGTGAAGGGGTGTTCGTGTTCACTCAGATGTGGGGTCCTCTTCCCCACGCACCTGCCCAGAGCACGAAGGCTTTCCCTGAGCGCCCCAAGTTCTGCAGCAGGGCAGGCGGGGCCCCCCTGCGCGGTGCCTGCTGTGCCTCAGGAGGAGCTAGAGGAGGCATGGGGGGGCTGAGCTGTTATGGGGGTTCTCACACAGCTGTTGGGGGGCCCGCTAGGGTAGGGGGTAGGCAGGCTGCGTTGCCTCGTGTCCCCAGGCCCGCGGCAAGGCCCTCCGCCCTCCGCCGGCGTTACAGGCGTGAGCCACCGGTGCCGGCTTCACGCTCATTTCTAAAATTGCTGCCCTTCCGGGGGCGGCCGCATCCAGACAGTGCCACGGGGGAGAGGGGGGGCAGGGGCCTCCCTTGCCTGGGGTGGGGGTCACACGTGGCCACGCTCACTGTCTCCCAGCCCCCCCCAACCCCGGGATCAAGCTGGGGGCGCTCTGGTCCCCACGTGCTCATGAGACAGGGAGGAGGTGGAGGGCCATCTTGTCCTCGCGGTACAGGCCCGATGATGTCCCCAAAATGGCTGTGCCCCCCCCCACATGCAGTGTGCTCTGGATTAGAGTTAGAAGCTGGAGAGGAGAGTTCCAGGAGCCGCCGGCGACCGCCGTGCCCCAGCTCTGGCTGGGCTGGCGGGGAGCTCCGGGCCCTCTCCTTCGGGGCACCCGGGCTCCTCACTGCAGGGAGCCCCCTCCCCACGCTGGGTCCTGTGCTGGGATGGGAAGGGGTGGGATGGGGGGGAGCCCGGGATCCTGGGGTGACCCCCCCCCCCGCTCTGCCCCCTACAGGCATCTCATCCCCCGTAAAGAAGACAGAAATGGACAAGTCGCCCTTCCACAGCCCGTCCCCCCAGGACTCCCCGCGCCTGTCCAGCTTCACCCAGCACCACCGGCCCGTGATCGCCGTGCACAGCGGTGAGTGCCACCACCCCGGCCAGGGACGTCCTTCCGCACACCTGACCAGCCCACCCGAGAGTGCATGGTAGGATGACCGGAGGGCAGACACGGCCGCGATACACAGCACAGTAGCCCAGTGGTTTCACCCATAGGTTGGCCAGTGGTGGCCCTGGGCGGCCGGTTCTTGTCAATAAAGTTTTATTGACACACGGCCCCGGCCTCATGTCTGTCCATCACGATGGCTGTTTCTGCACTAGGGTGGCAGACGTAGGTAACCAAGACAGACGCTTGTGACAACCAGACCTACAGACCCTGTGCTCAGGAGCCGGGGAGGGGCAGAGCAGCACAAATCACAGAGCTCAGGGACCGTCAGTACCAGGCCAGGATAGTATGCAGCCAGGAACAGGATGAGGCTGTGACCCACACCCCGACTGAGGGGGGCAGACACAAGAGGCGCCCGGTGTGACGCCAGAACGGGCAGACCCAGAGACTGGAAGCGGGGGCTGGGGGATCCCAGGAAGGGGCGGGCGGCGCTGCGGGGAGGCGGGGGCTGGGGGATCCCAGGAACGGGCGGGCGGCGCTGCGGGGAGGCGGGGGCTGGGGGATCCCAGCTGCGGGGAGGGCTCCTCTTGAGAAATCAAGAACAGGCGCAGGGCTTGTCTCTGAGAGGCGTGGGATGTTCTGGAACTTGGTAGAGGTGACGGTTGCACAGCTTCGTGGAAACAACTAAAACCTGCAGGATTGTGAGCTTTCTTAGCAGGGTGAATTTTGCAACATGGGAGTTGTCCGGTGGTCTGTCCACCCGAGGGACCGGTTCCAGCCCCCTCCCCCCCCCCCCGCCCGCCCCCCTACCATGGGTGCGCAGTTCTCTGGTTTAACTTGACGTGGTGCTCTGTCCCCATCATGGAGAACGCACTACTGTGTCGACATGGAGTACCTTCACTGCTGCGCCGTTGAGGGCCCAGTGACAAGAGAATACAATAAATACTTTCCATCCGCAATGTAGACTCTAAAGACACAGAGAGCTGACTGTGTTTCCATGTTTAAAAGACATTTACTGCTGGACACGGTGGCACATGCCTATAATCTCAGCTACTCAGGAGGCCAGGATTGGGAGGATCACAGTTCAAGGCCAGCCCTGGAGAAAGTCTACGAGACTTTTTTTCCCTCCATGGCAAACAATAAAACCTAGCATGTTAGCCGGGCACCGGTGGCTCCCACCTGTCATCCTAGCTACTCAGGAACCTGAGATCTGAGGATTGTAGTTCAAAGCCAGCCCCAGCAGGAAAGTCTGTGAGACTCTTACCTCCAATAAACCACCAAAAAAGTGGAAGTGGCGCTGTGGCTCAAGTGGTAGAGCGCTCGCCTTGATCTGAAGGGCTGAGGGACAGCTCCCAGGCCCAGAGTTCAAGCCCCATGACTGACAAAAAAAAGAACTGGCATGCTGGGGCATACCTATCATCCCGGCTCTGTGGGAGCTGTAGGAGGAACGTTGAAGTCTGAGGCAGACCCCAAAGCAAAAATTCTAGATCCTTCCTGAAAAAAGTAAACAAAGTAGTTGGGCATCAGGAACTTACACCCATCATCCCAGCTACTCAGGAGGCTGAGATCTGAGAATCTTAATTCGAAGCCGGCCCAGGCAGGAAAGTCTGTGTGAGATTTACATGTAGCGAACCAAACAAAAGCCAGAAGTAGAGCCGTGGCTCAAGGGGTAGAGCGCCAGCCTTGAGAGATAGAGCTAAGGGACAGCCCCCAGGCCCTGAGTTCAAGTCGCAGGACTGGCACCCTGCCGGGCGTGAGTGTTGGGGGGCGGGGCAGGGGGCGGGGCTCAGCGGGTCTGTTGGTGCTGGGGGGCGGGCGTGGAGACGCTCACCGCCCTCCATGCTGGCTCTGCAGGGATCGCCCGGAGCCCGCACCCGTCCTCGGCTCTGCACTTCCCCACCGCGTCCATCCTGCCGCAGACGGCGTCCACCTACTTCCCCCACACGGCCATCCGGTACCCACCCCACCTCAACCCCCAGGACCCGCTCAAAGATCTCGTGTCGCTGGCCTGTGACCCGGCCAGCCAGCAGCCTGGACCGGTGAGTGGGCATCCCCCCCCCCACGTGGCCCCTGGGGGCCTCCGCAGCGGTGGGATTTCCGTCTGTGGGGGTCTGCAGCCCCTGTTCTGTGTTGAGTCCGTGGGCCTGGGTGTATAGGACAGCTGGGGACAACAGGATCCCTGGCAGTGCCGAAATCCTGGGCGCCTCTTGGGCCGGGCCCACGGCACGCAGAAACACGCAGGCCGGGTCACGGGGGCCGTGCGTGCTCCAGGACAGAGTCCCAGCAGGCATGCGGGGCGTGCGGACACAGCGTAGAAAGCGGGTCCCAAGCCGGGCGCCGGTGGCTTGTGCCCGTCATCCTAGCTACTCGGAGGCTGAGATCTGAGGATCGCGGTTCGAAGCCACCCCGGGCAGGAAAGTCCGTGAGACTCTGATCTCCAATAAACCACCAGAAAACCGGAAGTGGCGCTGTGGCTCAAGCGGTAGAGCGCTCGCCTTGAGCTGAAGAGCTGTGGGACGGCGCCCAGGCCCAGAGTTCAGGCCCCACCACGAGTCCCAAACTGGGGGTACAAGTAGGAGCTGAGGGTCGTGATCCATGCAGGGGCCGGGGTTCGGGTTTCGCCACCTCCAGCAGCTCTCGGCCCCGCCACTCTGTCCCTTACCCTTCCAGGCCCCAATCCTGCTGCCTGTACCCCAGTTCCACGTGGACACAGCCAGTGTCCAAGGTGGAGGGGACACCACCCCCCATACCACGTGTCTCTCTGCTCCCCAGGGACGTGGAAGCAGCCCCCCCCCAGCAAACCCACAGAGCAGCCATGCCCCCACTCCCAGGCTGCTTCCCTGGGTGCCCACGCGGCCTACGGGCCCCCGGCCTGGGTGACAGTTCCAGGCCTGCCTCCCCCACGCCACAAGCACCTGCGGGAGACGGGGTCCCCCACACAGGTGGCCCTGACCCCAGGGAGCAGCCTCACTTCTTGTAGAAAATAACAATCCAGTGAGGAAGCCAGGGACCCATGGCTCACGCCTGGCATCCTAGCCACCTAGGAGGCTGAGCTCTGAGGATCATGGTTCGAAGCCAGCCCGGGCAGGAAAATCTGTGAGACTCTGATCCCCAGTAAATCCCCAGAAAACCGGAAGTGGCGCTGTGGCTCAAGGGGTAGAGCGCTCGCCTTGAGCTGAAGAGCTGAGGGACGGCGCCCGGGCCCAAGTGCCAACCGCATGACCAACGGAAAAGAAAAAACAAAAAAAAACGATGGCGGGAGGTTAGGTCCGTCTTTTCTGGGGGAGTGGGAAATGAACCGGTGACAAGCAGGTGCTTGTTTGCGGTGGCCTGGACTGGACCATGCCGTTGGAGGGAATAATGCCCACCTGGCCCACCTTCTCGATTTTTCTGGGCTTTGGATGGCAGCGCATTGGCTGCCCTGGGACGCTGCGCGGGGCCACGGCAGCCTCCCCAAGATGTGGCCCCAACTGTCCTCCCGCCCTCCGGCCTGCGTGACCTCAGGCCAGGGCCCGACCCTCTCTGAGCCTCAGTCCTCCGAGCTGCAGAATGGGTCTGCATGCACCCCCCGGGCGGCGTGGCGGGGAGGAGCTGGGGGACATGGGTGCGGGACGGGTGTTGCGAACTCTTTTTATTTGTGTACCTGGGGTCAGGAATCGTGTTGGCAGGCAAACGGGGAGCACTGTGGGGGCGGGTGGCTGCTCTCGGGGTGCACGAGGCCCTGGGGTCCGTCCCAGCACCATCCAAAATAAAACCCACTAGGCTCGCGCCCCATGCCGGCCTGGCACGCAGTAGGCCCGTGGCTGTCCCCCCACCCCACCCCACCCCGCTTCTACCTCGTCCGGGGGCCATTCACCCAGAGCCCGATAAATGATCCGGCGCCAATGTCTCATCTCCTGGCGGTGCAGGGCGGGCATCGCTGCAGGTTCGGTGCTCAGGGTCTTTGTGTTGTCCGCCCCCCCCCCAGGCAGTAGGACCCCCCCCCACCATGGCAGGAGCTCGGGGAGCCGGCAGGCTGCAGGGCGGGGAGCTGGGGGTGAGGGGCCCGTACCGACGCTAACGGGCTCTCGGTCTCTCTCCCCGCAGCCTACTCTGCGCCCGGCGCGTCCCCTGCAAACCGTTCCTCTCTGGGACTAGAGCCGAGGGATCACAGGTAGGGCCGAGGGGCTGGCCGTGGGGGGCTGGGGCAGGGCAGGGCGTCCGTCTGGGGGACCCCGGGGCCTCCAGACCCCAGCTGGGTTCTTCCCTTGACTGCACCCCCCCTCAGGCTCAAGGGCCCCTGTATGGCCCCCAGGGGTGCGAGGTGACCCCAACCCCACCTGTCAGCTCCTTAGTGCCGGCTCCTGCCTCTCGGGAGATCGTTGGTGGCAGAGCTGTGACGTCCCTGTGTTCAGATGGGTGGCCACGTGGGCCAGCAAGGCCCAGAGAGGCCCGGGGTCACACCGCACACTGGCCCCGTCCCCTCCCCTGCGTCTGGTCCAGGGACCTAGAGGGATGAGGGGGCCGTGCTGGCCAGGGGCAGGCAATTCCCCCCCACCCTGCACCCCCAGAGAAAGGCCGGATAGCAAGGAAGGCTCAGAGAGGGACAGCCAGCTGCCTGAGGCTGCACAGCAGTGGGGGCGGAGACCCAGACCCCAGGCCCACACCCACCTTCCCGTCAGAAGTCCCATCTTATGGGGCCTCGGAGCCTCAGCCCTCCTGGGGCTGGCAAGGGAAGAGGGGAGACAAGGCAAGGAGGCCAGCCTAGGGAGCCCCGGGGCCTGGAGCACCCCCCCCCCCAGCTCCAGAGGGTCCCCTTGGCCTTGAAAGACTCAGAGACAGAGAGACCAGCCCAGGGCCAACTAGCAGTGGGGTCCCCTGGGCCACTGTAGGCTCTACGGAGGTCACAGGCTAAGGTCAAGGAAGGGGTCACAGGTGGTCCTGTCCTCTGTGGGGGGGGTGCTCTATGCTCAGGTTGCTGCTGGGGGGGGAAGGCCCAGTGTGTGGGGACCCGCCATCCTCTTCTCCTGGCCTGGGGCCAAGTCTAGGCTGTGGCCGGGACAGGGCCCCCCCCACGCCCTGCCCCCCCCAGCCTCTTCCCCTCCCTCCCACAGCCTGCCAAGGCCACACCCCCCCACACACACAGTCAGGGTCACCGTGGCCCCAGTGGCAAGAAGGGGTGCCCCCACCCAGCCTCCCTCCGTGGTACCTTCCCCGTGGCCAACTGAAAAGCAGGCCCAGTGTTCCCCTCCCCCACCCATTCCGGGGAGCATAGAGCCCCCCAGCTGTGCCAGCCCCTGGCCCACCTGAGGGAAAGGAAACCGAGGAGGTGGGCACCCCATCCCCCTCCTCAGGGCCGGGGGCAGGGGCCAGAAGAGGCGGGGCGGGGGGGGGGGGGCGCGGGAGGCCTCGGTGTGAGGGAGGAGCACAGCCAGAACCTTCTAGAGCCCGGAAGGGATGAGGCAGATTGCAGGGAGACTGCAGGTTGGGAGGAAGCATGCGGTGCCCCCCCCCCTGCGGGGAGGGCGGGCAGCACGGCCCCACATCCTGCTCGGTCAGCACTTCCTACTGTTGTTCCTGGATGCCGCCTCCCCTCCCCCTCCCCTCCCCTCCCCCCTCCCCCGTCGTGTCCCCACCCTTCCCCCCTCCCTGCCCCTCCCCGACCCTCCCCGCCACGAGGCTGGCCCTGCTGGTGGTGTGGGGGGGATCTCCTCCATCCCATCCGCTCCCCAGGGCTCCCCGGAGCCAGCAAAGGGCAGGGGTCACAGCGCGGACATCCTGAGACTCCCCGCCCCCCCTCGGCCATGTGGGGGTTCCCCCCCTCCCGGGAGGGAGGAGGGAGGAAAGGCCACCGTGGCCGGCGGCCGGGGCTGGGTGTCCACCTCGGGAGGGTCACGCCCAGAGCCTGTCTGGTTGCCAACGGAAACCAGACATGAGGTAATGGCCGCGATGAACTTGAACTTGGCTGGGGGTGGGGGGAGCGGCGGAAGCGCCAGTTCCTCTGACGGGCCTGCCTGGGGGAGGGGCGCCACGGCTTTGCAACCAGGTTGGGGGGGCAGCGACGGGGGCGGGGGCTCCCCAGGGACTGGACAGGGCGGTCAGGGCTGTGGCCTCCCTGTCCCCGTGTCAGATGGGAGAGGACATTTCAGTACAGCAGGTGGAGCGCTCGCCTGCGGGGCCCTGTGGTGGTGGGGGGGTCACTAAATGGGGAAATGCCGGTTAAAAAAGGAAAATGGGGGGCTGGGAAGGTGGCTCAGTGGTAGAGCGCTTGCCTCGCATGCATGAGGCCCTGGGTTCAATTCCTCAGCACCACATAGCCACAAAAAGCCAGAAGTGGCGCTGTGGCTCAAGTAGTAGAGCTGAGGGACAGCACCCAGGCCCAGAGTTCAAGCCCCATGACCGACAGAAAAGAAAAAATGGTCCTAGCCGGGAGCTGGTGGCTCACGCCTGTCATCCTAGCGACTCAGGAGGCTGAGATCTGAGGATCGAGGTTCAAAGTCAGCCCTGGCAGGAAAGTCCATGAGCCTCTGATGTCCAGTTAGCCACCAGAAAAACGAAAGTGGCGCTGTGGCTCAAGTGGTAGAGCACTTGCCTCGTGCTGAAGCGTTCAGGGACAGCGCCCAGGCCCAGAGTTCAAGCCCCAGGACCCACTAAATAAACACAATGGCCCTGGTCACTGCCGTACCTGGCCTGGGGCCGTCCAGCAACGTCGCGTGCTGCAGTTGAGGGCAAAGGTCACAGCCACACTTTGAGAAGCCTCCCCTCACCCCCACTTTACACGCTTGGTGGTGAGGCCGGGGGCAGTGGGGAGGGGTGCTGCGCTGGCCAGTGCAGACAGCGCAGTGCGTGATGCGATCCATCCCCAGGCGGGCTGGCCGCGGGCTTCCTCACCCTGCCCGCTCCGAGCATCCCTGACGGCGGGTGCATCCCCAGACTCGCCCCGGCCCTGCTGCTGTGGAATCACAGCCAGAAAGTTCTATTCCCCCCCCCAACTCTATGGCTCACCCCCCCCCCCCCCCAGCCTGGTGTGGGATACCCTTGGACCAGAAGCAATCCCACAATCCCACACTGCTTGTCCGGGATGGAAACCTCACCAGCCACTTGGCGTTTACCCAGCAGCCTTGTCGGCAGCGCAGGGCTCCGGCCCCGGGTCCCACGGGTGGACGGGATCCCGGGTCCCGGGGATGGAGGATGGGGCTGTGGGGGAGGTGGGGGGGAGGTGACGGAGGGGTCCGTAGTGGAGCTTGATGCCTGTGCTCTCTCTCTCTCCCTCCAACCTCTCTCTCGTTCCTGTCGGCCATTCAGTCCTGGTACCTGGGATAGCAGCGTTCTGTGCCCCCCACCTCCTCTCCATCGCCCGGGAATTCCCGGGGGGGCAGCGCCGCCCGCCCCCCCCCAACCCACATTTGCGGTGGGAAGTTAAGAGCGAGCAAGAACACCCCACCAACGCCCAGCCCGGCCAAAAAACCAACCCACAGACAGACCCAGCGGGAGGAGAAGGAAAAGCAACCCCCCCCCCCCCCGAAAAAAGGAGAAAAACAAAAACAGGAAGAAGAAAGAAAGAAAGAAAGATCCGCGTCAGGAGAGGCCCCCCCCCCCAGGAGGACGCGAAGATGAAACGTGAGGACAGCTCGGAAGCCAGGCCCGGGCCGCGCCGGCCCCACGCGCCGCCCGCCACGCCCGCACCGTCATCTCCGCCCCAAGGACGCCGACGCTGCCCCACAGAGCAGGTGAGCCCCGGGCGGCCACCGACCGCCCCCCCCGCACCCCCCACCCCGCCAACGGCACTTGCCAAAGAAGGGAAAGGCAGCAGGCCGGCGCGGGCGAGGGGGCAGCGAGGACCCCCGCAGGGGCAGAGGCGGGTGGGCAGAAGAGGTGTGAGCCCCTCAGCCCCCCCTGGCTGGACAGGATGGACGCCGTGCGGGTACTTGGGGGACCCACCCCAGCAGCGGGGACCTGCGAGCCCCCCTCCCCACCGGACTGGCTCTGGCTCTCGCCCCTGGGGACTTGGTCTTCGGGGAGGGGTGCCCCCCCCAGGCCAGCCCCAGGGTTGGGGATGAGGGACGTCTATGCAAGTGACCCCAGGCCCTTGGCACGGTGGCCGTCCTCCCCCCCCCCACCCCCCCCCCCCGGCCTGTTGCACATGTGGAAGCAATGCACTTTCCCAGGAAGGGGATGGTGGAGCCGGGACCCTGAGCTCTCCACTCCAGACCCCCCCATCTGGAACCTGCTGGCCTCGAAGCCCAGCAGGGGAGCTCCCGCCCCCCCCCCCCAAGAACCCTGGAGGTGGGAGCCCAGAGTGGTTTAAGTGCCTGACCCCCCACCGTCGTCCACCGGACACAGAGTGGCCGAACGCGCCCCCCCTCCCCCAGCCCGGCCCCCCCATTGCCGTGCCCCCCTCCAAGCTAGAGAGACTGGACCCCAAGGGTCAGCCCCGGGAGCCCCTCCCTGCATCCCCCTCCTCACACCGCGGGCCCCGGGCCGGGTCCTGGGGGTCCCGCCGCCCCCTCAGCCAGTGCCTTACATGCTGGAGGGAGGCCAGCCCCTCCCAGGTGCCCCCCACCCCGAGGGCCACCATTTGCACTTTCATCTCCCCCAAAATGGGGCCCGGTGGAGGGAGCCAGCCCCGCACGGGGCGGGGCGGGCTCTGGCGGAGCTGGGGGTGCTGCGGAGAGCGGGGCTCACCTCACCCGCTGTGCGTGTTCCGTTGACCTGCTCCAAAAACACTAAGCTGGGGGGGACGCCAGGTGCCCCCCAGCCAGCTCCGTCCACACCCACCCCGGGACCCCTTCTTCCGTGGAGGGCCAGGGTGGGGTGTTAGGTGTTGCAAACACGAGGACCCCCTCCCTGGCCCTCCCGTCCATCCCATGCCCCCCACTTCGGCCAAAGCCATCGTCCGTTCCTCGTGGCCCGGCCCCCTTCGTCGGGGGTCTGGACTCTTCTTCTCCAAAGTAGCCTGGGGGGGCCTTGGCGAACTCCCTCGATCTCACACAGAAAGACCCAAGTCCCTTCCTCACCCTCTGTCTCCCATCCCCAGGGCCCGGAGCGCAGAGGTGGGGGGAGGGGGTCCCGTCTGTCCGTTTGTCCGTCCGTCCGTCTGTCCGTCCTCAGGGCCCCTCCCCCTCCACGGGGGGGGGGGGCGGGGGATCCTCGGGGACTGAAGCATGGGGGGGGGGCCCCCCCCGCTGTCCAACAGGGCAGGGGTGAGGGCCGTGCCACCCAGCAAAACCGGACTCTTGCCAGGGTGGTGACCGGGGCTGGGGGGGACAGACCGGACTCGGGGTACCCCCAGCAGTCGCCCTCTTCCCCCCCACCTCCCATGGGGGTCCGGGCCTGCGAGAACCAACTCTTTTACCTGACTTGCATGGTGCTTTAGGAACCCGCGACCTGTATGCATGGCGGATGCCCCCCCCCGGCGTCCCCCCCAGCCACCCGCGCCGCCTCTTAACAAAACCCCCCAAAACACAACTAAACCAGAAAACCCCCAAAAATCTACCAAAAAAGAAAAAAAAAAAAGCCCAGCCCCACCCATTCCACGGCTCCTGATTTGCACGAGAATTTTCTATCACATGATGTGCCTTGCGTCCCTGGTCAGCACTCAGCTGCATGCCGCACGCGTAGCCCCAGACAGACAGACAGACATAGACGATGCCACGAAATAAAGCGTACCAAGCGAAAAGGGATGGATTTCTATTTGTAAAAAAACAAACAAGAAACAACAATAACCACCATAACCATCGCCACCACAGACGAGAAGGAAGTGACATTCAGAAGACAAGGAAAACCCGCTCAAAAGCGAGCCACAGAGCCACCCCGCGCCCCCCTCCGCACCCCCCCCCCCCGCAGCGGGGGGAGGGGCTCTTCCCCGGTGCTCACCGCCATCCGCCGCCCGGGACCCGCGGACCTCAGGCCGCCCGGCCCCTCCCCTCCCACCGTCGCTGGGCACAGCCTGACTCAGACTCCATCCATGCAGGCTGGGGGCCCGCGTGTCCCTGTGTACCCCAACTTTGTCACCAAAGGACCCGTTCTTCTTGAGCCGGAGACCAGCCTGGGGTGACCCCCGTCCACTCACCCCCCTCCCCATCTTCCGTCTTCCAGCTAGTGACACGAAGGAGCGACACGGGAACCCCACACAAACTCGATATATGCAATACCTGCCCTTGGCCCCCGCCCCGGCGGCTGGGGGTGGGGACCGCGGGGAGCCGCCGTCGCCGGCCTCTGTCCCGAGGTTGTCATGTCCTTGATTTTGGTTTTTCTGGCTCTTTCTTCCCGTCCTTCCCCCCTGTACCCCGTCTTTCCTCTGTCTCTTTCCAGTTTCCTTGACCAAAGCTAAGGCAGGAAGATGGGCTGTGGGGGGGCCGGGGTGCAGCGGCCTCCCGGCACCCCCAGCCCCCCGCACGGGGTCTGCCAGCACAGCCTTCAGCCACTGTCCCTTTGTCCCCTCAGGATGTCACCAAGATATTCTTAATCCCAACTTTTCTTCCAAAAAAATGACACCCTGGTGCGGCCCCGGGAAAGGGGGGGGGGCGGCAGACGCCGGGCTGGGGGTCCCGGGGAGCGGGGGCACAGGGAAGGCCCCAGGGGCTACTGCCCCACCCCGCTCGCCCTCTCCGTTGGGAACTGGCAGGGAAGGGGGGCAGGCTGGGTGAGGTGCCGCCCCCCACTCCCCACCGCGGCCTTGGGGTCCCAGGCCCTGGCCAGCGGGCTTCTCCCAGTTGGTGGCAGGAGACAGAGTTGGGGCTCTTTTTTTTTCTCTGACTTGACATGTTCACCACCCCCATACCCAGGCCGGATCCTCCCAGAGCCCCCTTTCCCCAGATGATGGTTGGGGTTCAGTCCACCCCGTGGGGAAGGACGGGGGGGGGGGGGGGGGGGGGGGGGGGGCGGGGGCAGGGGTCCCATATATATGCAAATCGCACAGCCCTGAAGGACTGCAAAGAGGGAGGGAAGTCCCCAGCCTCGGTTCAGAGAACCCACAGGCTCCCCGGGGACCCCAGACGGACCAGCAGGGCCATCCAAGGGAAACGGGGAGCTGCGGGGACCTCCACACTGTCCCCTGGGGCTCCCCCTCCTGGGGCCAGCCCTGCCTGCCACCTCCCTGCCCAGCGGCCATCTGTGCAGGGCCACAGCAGCACCCAGGGAGGGCCCCGGCCGGCTGCCGTCCCACACACAGGACATGGTGGTGTGGCCACATGTGGCCTCAGGCCCCGGGGAAAGGGGGCAGCAGGCAGGTCCCCACCCCCCAGTGCACCCCAGACCCCGCCAGCACAGGGCTGTGCTGTCTGTACATACATGTAGGCTGTACCCATGTAACTTGGGGGTTGAAGCCTAGATTCTGGCTCAGACACCCCGATGATTTCTTCCCTCAAATTCAGCTTCCTCTCTCTCCCCTTCTCTGCCCCCTAGTACACTTTCTGGGAGGGGGGGTCCCCGCCTCCATGCCCACCCCCCCAAGCTCCAGCTATCCATCCCTAGGTGGTCCAGAGCCGGGGAGGGGGACCCTCAGCCCCCCCACAAGCAGCAAGGCAGGAGGCAAACCGAAGCCCGGCCAGCAGAACTCGCCAGCTATACCAAAACACTCATTTCCCAAGCAGTGCCTCATGTCTGCTGGTGCAGTTTTGGGGTCTCCCTGCCTCAGCGCCCCCTCTACACACACACTGGTATCTCGAGCCCCCGGACTGTGCTCAGACCTCGAGTGTGGGGGGGGTGTGGAACACAGGGGTGATCACGGGCTCCAGAGATGGGGAAAGCCATGCCACCTGGGTAAAAAGGGGGGCCTCCAAACCCCCTTCTCAACATGCACCCCTCCTCATCTTCCCACCTCCAATCTCAGCCAGGCTGCTGTCCCCTAAAACCAAAGCCCCTTCAAATCCAGGGGTCTCAGCCTGAGCACCCTCCTCTCCCCCCCTTCCCTGCCCACTGAGTGTGAGGGGTGAAGAGAGGGCTGGGGGGGAGGAGGGGCCCTGGGGAGGGCAGGTCACAGCATCTTCATCTGGATTTTTCTGGATTCTTTTCTAGGTTTCTTTCTCGATTTCCTCCCCTCACCCCCCCCCCCCCCCCCAGCCTTTCTGAATTTCTCTCTGGATATTGTTTCTTCTTTTTTTCCTTCCCCCCTTCTCTCCCTCTCCCTCTCCCTCTCTCCCTCTCCCTCTCCCTCTCTCATCCCTCCCCACCCCACACCCCTCAATTGTTTGGGTGTCGAGGCTGTCCCGTACATTTTTCTCTGAGACTTTTTTTTTGAGATTTTTTGTTTCCATTTTGTATTTTACGCATATTACAGGAGAGATCATTTTATTTCTCGCTTTCTGCTTGCGTCACATAACAGGCCATACACGTTACGCGCGCGCACGCGCACACACACCTGTGCTCAGAACCCAAGTCGGGGAACAGTTCCGCTTGGACCTGGGGGTCCCCGGGTTGTCCTGACCCTCCCCTGCTGGGGGAGGGGGTCAGCCGGGACCCCCTGGCCGGCCCCCCCGGCCCTGCGCTGCCCTCAGCCCATATATCACGCGGTCGGTTT